CACACGGTACCTTTTGCAGGGGACGATCGGGAGTGCCAATACCAGCCCAGATGGCATTGCACTGCTTGTTTTTTCGCATGAGCGATCGTAGCCAAAAATGAAATGTGAAAAATGCCCCGAGGGATGCCCTGAACCCTGGTCTCCTCGGTGTGGGCGGAGTCTAACGTTTTGAAGAAGGAAAATATGTCGCCGAGCCGTTTGTTCTCGACGCGCCCAAGTGGGCGACGCCAGCACAACGGCAAACCCGCGAGAAGCCCTGCGACCCGCAACCGAGTAGACGACACCCGCACCGCGGCAAACCCCTGGCGAACCTGGCGTCCAAGGCGGAGTTTGCCCTGGTGGCCGAGGCGCCCTCCCCAAGGGCGTAGGGCCGGGCGTCGGAGGAAACGGCGCGGCGACGTGCCCAGACCCCCGACGCCGTGATTTTTGTCACCACGTCGACCCCCAGAGGTCTGGACCCCTTCCCAGGGACCGGCTGTTCCTCCCGAGTCGTCTTCGCACGGCTCCCGAGGCCCGGGGAGGGCCCCCCTGGAGGTCTGGACCCCTTCCCAAAGGCCGGCTTTTCCTCCGGAGTCGTCTTCGGACGCCCCCGAGGCCCGGGAAGAGGCCCCCCTGGAGGTCTGGACCCCTTCCCAAGGGCCGGCTGTTCCTCTGGAGTCGTCTTCGGACGGGTCCCGAGGCCCGGGGAGAGGCCCCCCGGAGGCCGCACCTGGCGAAGAGCCTCCCCCGTCCCTGCTTTTGCTCCACAGCGCGGGGAGGCCTGGGCAGGAGGTGCGCAGGCCACGCTTGCGCTCGGGCACGCCGCCCAGCGAGAGCGGTGCGGCCACGGGGCGGCCACGGGGGCGCGCCCACACCCGGCGAGAAGCTCTCTGGAGGAGGAGGGGTAGGGGGTGCAGGGGTAGGGGGAGGAGGAGGGGGAGGAGGAGGAGGAGGAGGAGGAGGAGGAGGAGGAGGAGGAGGAGGAGGAGAAGGAGGAGGAGAAGGAGGAGGAGGAGGAGGATCCTCGATCCTCGATCCTCGAGCTGTGGACCTTCGAACCTCGATCCTCGATGCTCGAGGGCGGCCACGGGTGGCCACCGGGCAAAGAGCCGGCAAATCGCCCGCGAGCGCGCGTCGGGCGGCCACCAGGCGCTCACGGGCGGCCACAGCCCACGCCCAAGAGAGGCTGCCAAGACGGCCCCAAGAGAGGCTCCAGAGCGTCGGCGTCGTCGTCGTCGCCGTGCCCCGTCAGGGTCGGCGGCACGGCACCGGCCGCTGGGCCTTCCTGGTAGGGACCGGTCTCCTTGCGCGGCCCCCCTTCCTCAATCACGGGCCAACGGCCTAACAACCAGGCGAGGACGCCTCCGTGCAAGCAGCAGCTGGCGAGCAATCCGACGTAGGGGCCATCGAACGCCGCGAGCTGCGCCCAAAACCCCATGTCCGGCCCCACACACACACACACACACACACACACACACACACACCTCCTCCCCACACGAAAGCAGCCCAGAAAAAGCCGAACGCCTTTCCAGAGTCGCCTCCTCCTCCTCCCTCCTCTCTCTCTCCCTCTCTCCCCCTCCTCTCTCCTCGTCATCCTGCTCCTCCTGCCATCCCGCCACCTCACCAAGGTCCCGAATCGAACCCCACGAGCCACGAGGGAAGCCTCCGAGGATGAGCGAGGGAGGGCGCGCGGACCTCCGAGGACGAGGGGAGAGGACGGGAGGGAACCGCGCGCTGTTGGAGGGTCGGGGCAGCGAGGGAGGCGGGGGGGGGGGAGCGGAGCCATCGGCGGGGCGGAGCCCGACGAGGGGGCAGAAGGAAAGGCCCCTTCCCAGGAGCAGGCTAACCCATGGGATCTGCCCAAATCCACGACCTCCTCCTCCTCCTCCTCCTCCTCCTCCTCCTCCTCCTCCTCCTCCTCCTCCTCCTCCTCCTCCTCCTCCTCCTCCTCCTCACCATCATCCTCTTCGTCCTCCCGAGGTCTTCCTCCTGCCTCGTCCTCGGAGAAACGCACAGAATGCACAACGGCGCATGTGCTTTCTTTTCTTCCCCCAAGCTCCAACGGCATGCGCGCCCTGTGGAAGAGGACGACGACGATCAGGAGAAGCAGGAGGAGGAGGAGGAGGAGAAGAGGAGGAGGAGGAAAAGGAGGAGGACGGGGAGGAGGAGGAAAAGGAGGAGGAGGAGGAGGAGGGAAGAGAAGGACGGAGACGACGGGGACAATGAGGAAGGGATGAAGCATGTTGGAGCATGGTAACGCCACACAGTGGCATACACCAATCCAAAGAAGATTGGCAGGGAACAGTGAGGTGACCTCGTCGCCGGTGACTCGCTGCCCAGCCGAGACAACGTGGTGCGTAGGGTCCCAGGCCCCAATCCACGACCAACCCTGCGGAATCGATTCGCATGCGCAACTGGGTTTGTTCCCCAGGGTGAGTGGGCACAAGGCCCTATGGGATTTACCGACCACATGGCCCCACCTCTCGACCAAATGCGCAATCCCCACGCCTGGTCCCAAAACCATTGCTACGGGCGCAGCTGGCGCAATAAGCAGCAAGGCGAAAGACGCCAAGCTGCGGGCGTCGAACAAAACAATGGCCGGTTGCACCTCTCCCTGCAAGCATCCGAAAGGCTCCTTGAAAGCGTGCCCTGAAGATGGGGAACGCAATGCACCAGGATACGGCACACACACACACACACACACCGCCCACGCAGGGCAAGGAGGAAGGGGCGAAGGAGAGGAGGGAGGAGAAAAAGGGACGATGAGGAGGACGGGGAATGAGGGACGAGGAGAGGGACGGGGAGGAGGATGGGAACATGTGTATCCAGCTCTCGCCCAATCTGGGGGCGCTGTGTACCCAGCTTCCTGGCACGAAGCCCGATTAAGGGACCGTCAAGCTGAAGTAAGACAGACTAAACACAACATTCGCGGGCACAACGAGCCAGAGGCGCGCTAAGACCTCTGCTAACAAGTGTCGAGGATTTCTAGGTCGCGCGCGCGCGTGTGCAGCCCCTGGGTGTCGCCGGGCTAAAGGTACCCTGGCCGATCTCTGGCAAGGTCCGATCAGAGCTGGTTCTGCTCCGGGGCGCCGCCCTCGGGGATCCCAAGAGAGCCCCAAGCAGGGCCAAGAGGCCCCAAGAGGCCCAAAAGAAGGTCCAAGAGTGCTCCGACACGCCACAAGACCGCTCCAAGACGCACAAGATGACGCACAGACAGCCCAAGAGGCCTCCAAGACGCCCCAGGAGCGCCCTGAGAGGCAAGAACACACACACGCACACACACACATGCTCCTTTGGCGTTTGAAAAATATTGGCGTTCTCGCCATGTCGGCTTCCAAAGATCGCCCCAAGACCGCTCGAGAGGCATCCAAGAGGGCCTGAAGGCGGCCCAAGAGGGCCCCAAGACGGCCCAAGAGGCCTCCAAGAAGCCCCAAGAGGGCCCCAAGACGGCCCCGAGAGAGAGAGGGCCCCGAGGAGGATCCCGAACGGACATTTCGAGCCCTCGGCCAAAAGAGACGCCCAGGAGGCCCCAAGAGGCCCCGGAAAGCCCCCAATATCTCCAAGAAGCCCCCCAGAGACCCCAAGAGAAGCCCAAAATACCCCCAAGATGCACGCTCCCGAGAGGACCCAAAACTGCCCCCCAGGACCCCCGACAGCCCTCCGAGGAGACCCCAAGACGCCGCCACGAGGACTCTGATCCAGAACCCAGGCACGGTGGCAGGATCGGCGAAGGTAAGTGGATGAGCCTCCCCACGAAGGTCGTCGAGCATCACGCTCCGAACTCTTCAGCCTGGATACCTGCACATGAATAATTTTACGCTCGACTCAGCACGATGATCCATACAGCGGGAGGTCGATCGGAAAGATAGGAGCTGGAAACGGAGAATGGACCGGGGACGATGACGAGGAAGGTGAGGGGGAGGAGGAGGAGGAGGAGGAGGAGGAGGAGGAGGAGGAGGAGGAGGAGGAGGAGGAGGAGGAGGAGGAGCAGCAGGAGGAGGAGGAGGAGGAGGAGGAGGAGGGAAAGGGGGAGCAGGAGGACGAGGAAGAGGAGCAGCAGCAGCAGCAGGAGAAGAACAAACCTGTCGCCCCCAGCCACTGGAAATCCACCACCGCCCCCGCAACGCAGCAGGGGCGACGCATACGCAGGAAAATGCCAGCTATGCAGCATTATGGGCCGGCGGAAAGAGCGAAGCCATTCAACTAACCCAAATGAGGCCGGATTGAAGAAGACGATGCCGGATTAGGCTGGACCCAGCCGGATAATAGCCGAGAACGTACCAGCTCCAATGCTGAAATCAACCTCCCACGAATTGCAACCTAACATGATGGTCCAGTTATTCTTCCTGGGGTTATGACGGGTGTGATCACGGGGGGACATCGCGTTGATCACGTCACGGCGGGGGTGCGCCGGGAGCGCCAGAACATGCCCGCGAGCACCGCGCTGTACCTGCGAGGGGTCCAGTAGCCCGTGATGCGATCGCCTCGACGTGCCCGAAATTGCCGAACTGTGTGTAGCAAGCACCGCGAACCACGCAAAGCCTGCGAGCACAGGCAGCGTGTCTGTGCGAACCAGAACGGCCCGCGAGCGAGGCCACATGCACTGCGAGCACCACAGCGCGCTTTAGAGTCCCCGAATGCCTAGGGATGCACCAGCACAGCTGGCAGGGTTCCTGCCAGGAATGAGTCGGCGCACTGTAGGGGATTGCTCACCCCTCTTCAACACAGTGCTGAAGAAGGACGGGCAAGAGGAGGAGGAGGAGGAGGAGGAGGAGGAGGAGGAGGAGGAGGAGGGGAAGGAGGAGGAGGCCGAGGCCCACCATCGGTTCTGGAGGATGAGATGGAGGAAGACGACGGAGGAGGGGCCCAGGCCTCCGACGACTCGACCTGTCTTCAACTCCCCCAGAGAGCCCGCGGCGCAGAGTGCTCCGTGCTCGTGTGCTGGGGCCCGAGCACGGCATCACGAGGCCGACGGTTGCGACGAAGCCTCGAACCTGACATGCTCTGGCCTCTTGAGGTCTGGGGAGGAGGACGGAGGCGGAGGAGGAGAAGCAGCAGCTCGCAGCCGCTTGCCCGCTGTGCCCCTCAGCGGCGGCCCGCTGCGTCCGCGGCAACACGTCGCTCCTGCCCCCCATCGGAGCCGACAGCGTCGTCGTCCATCTCCTGGGATGGGGGAGATGGAGCAGCCGCATCAGCAGCGGGAGGGAGGAAAAGGAGAAGGAAGTATTGAAGATCGAGCTTGCAGGAGGTGTGTTCGCCCTCGTTGTGCCTCCAGGCGGCTGTTCTTTGCCGCAGCTCGATGCCTCTGGAAGCGGACCCTGAAGGAAACGGATTCTGGACCCCAGGGCCCCAAGGCTTTCTAGAAGACCAGCTTTCCATCCCGAGTCGTTTCTGTTGCCGGCCCTGGGACTTGGGCAGGGCCCCTGACAAGCACGAAAACGACGAACAAGACTCCAGCACAGAATCTGCAGAGGAGGGCCCAGGATACGAATGCCGCACAGCCCGCCCTTCTATCCTCGAAGCGAGCCTCCGACGGAAACGCAGCCGCGCTTGCGGTCGAAGGCCACGCATCCTCTCGCGCCACAGAAATGTGCACACTGACACCCGCCAGTGAGCCTGTCCTGTGCCTTCAGGGAGGGCGGCGGTCTGCAAAACCGCTGGCCCGTGGTGATCTGCACGCCGCCACCCTCGCCCAAGACCCAGGAACAGTACGCAACCACATGTGAAGCCTACCCCTGCAGGTCAGATTTCTGAAAACCCTGCCAGGGTTCAGAATCCGAAGGATGTCTGCAGCCAAGGCTACCCCAGCGGGGGCTCACATGTCCGATACACTGACGCCAAGTGTACCCGCAGAGATAGGACTCGATAGCTATCGCTGAAACAATTCATCTGGGGGGTCTGTGTACCCAGACCCCCCACGACAAGATTTGTTCATGACGTCGACCCCCAGAGGTCTCGGCCCATTCCCCGGGACCCGTTTATCCTCCCGAGTCGCTCAGTTGACGGTCACGAGGCCCAGCAAGGGCCCCAAAAAACCGACAATTGCTAAAAAACACCTCCCGTCGCGACTTGCTCCCAGACCCCCGACGTCATGATTTTTTCCTAACGTCGACTCCCGAGGTGTCAACCCACTCCCCAGGACCGGTTTTTCATCCCGAATCGTTTTTCGACGGGTCCGAGGCTCAGCAAGGGCCCCCAGAAACCGACGATTGCGACAAAAGCCTCCCGTCGCGGCTTGCTCATGACTCGAGGGGGTCTAAACAGATCCTCCTCCTCCTCCTCCTCCTCCTCCTCCTCCTCCTTCCTCCTCCTCCTCCTCCTCCTCCTCCTCCTCCTCCTCCTCCTCCTCCTCATGCTCCTCCTCCTCCTCCTCCTCCTCCTCCTCCTCCTACTCCTCCTCCTCCTCCTCCTCATGCTCCTCCTCCCCCTCCTCCTCCTCGTGGCTGGTGCTGGGCACACACTCTTGCGGCGGACCTGTGCCCACGCCGCCGCCTGGCCGCCAGAGCCGGCCGCCCAGCCCCCGCCGCCGCTCTCCGCGGCGCCGTCGCCCGGCCAGGGCGCCCACTCCCGGGCGGCACCCCCGGGCCAGGGCGCCCCCGCGCCCTGGGAGGAGGAGGACGAGGAGGAGGAGGAGGAGGAGGAGGAGGAGGAGGAGGATTATATACATATATACCTATATATGTATATATGTACATTATATATATATATATATGTGACACACAAACATCGCCCCTAGAATATTCATCCCTCTAGAGGGACAGGGCCAGACTTAACCCTGGGAGGCCCTCGACCGTCCGGCCCTCGAGCTCCAACCCTTCCGCACCCTCCGCGCGGCAGGTGCCGCCGCTGCGGCCGCCGGCACCGCCGCCGCAGCCGCAGCGGCTGTCTCGGCGGCCGCTGCGGCCACGCCGCGGTGGCACCTGCCGCGCGGAAGGCTCGCCAAGCCCCCTCGCATTGTGCAAAAATCACGACGGGAAGTTTTGCGCTGTTTTCGGCCTCTGGGCCCTTACCGGGCCTCGGGACCGTCAAAAACCGACTCGGGATGAGAACCCGGTCCCAGGGAATAGCTCGAAACCTCTGGGGATCGACGTCATGAAAAAATCATGACGTCGGAGGTCTGGGTCAGAAGGTTGAGGCCAAGGGAGGAGCCACCCTCGAAGGACCGCGCGGACTCCTCGGAGATCGGCGCTGAACTCCGTGCCCCTGGCGCCCAAGGAGGCCCCGCCACAGGGGGCCCCGCGCCGATGATCCGAGGAGTCCGTCCGCGCGGGGCCTCCGAGAGAGCATCGGTGGAGGCCGATGCGCGGGGGCTCCTCGGAGCCCACGGCCTCCTCACGCGGCGTCGCTCGAGCCGGATCGCCCTGCGAGGGCGCCCCGCGGCCCGAGTCACTGTGCGGGCGAGAAACGACCGGGCCGCACAGACTGCTGCGCTGGACCCGAAGAGGCTGGACGACGAGGGAGAGCGCCTCCGCCCCGAGCTTCCGAGGCGCCCGAGGTGGGCAGAGAGCCGCCCTCGGGCGCCGCCCCCGCCTCGCTGGCCTCGCTGGCCCCGGCGCTGGCGCCGAGCTCCCGCTGCAGCCCGAGGAGCCCCGCCACGGCGCGGGCCTCGGCCTCCCGGCCGCGGGCGCGGTCCGCCTCCGCCTCCGCCAGCCTGCGCGCGGGCAGGCTCGCGGGAGCCTCCCACACCACATGGCGGCGCGCACCACCCAAGACCCCCTCGAGCAAGGGAAGATCACGACGGGAGGTTCTCGCCAGTTTCGGCCTCTGGGGCCCTTCCTGGGCCTTCGTGCGGGCAGGCTCACGGGAGGCTCCCACACCACGTGGCGGACTTCGGAAACCCTGAGCCCGAAAGCGTTTTCATCTCTTACTTTGAGAAGGCGACTTTTTACTTCCGCCGCCTTCCGCCGAGCTTCCGCCAGCTGCCGCCGGCGGAGGCGGCCTCGTTGTACTTCCGCCGCCCTTCCGCCGCCCTTCCGCCACCTTCCGCCGAGGAAGAGATGACAACTCCTTCTCTCCTCGAAGGCACGGCCCTTTCTGGAACGCCCCATGTGGCGGCCCCTCGAGCAAGGAAAAACTCATAACGGGAGGTAATTCTCCATTTTCGGCCTCTGGGAGCCCTTCCCTGGCCTCGGGACCGTCAAAAAACGATGCGATATGCTACCGAACCAGCCTGTCTTGGGCGCTCGGCGGCCCTGGGGCTGGACCTGTTTTGGAAACCCCGAACCCAAACACGCTTTCATCTCATGGGAAATCGCCTTTTTACCTCCGCCGCCTTCCGCCGAGCCTCCGCCAGCTACCGCCGGCGGAGGCGGCCTCGTTTTACCTCTGCCGACCTTCCGCCGCCCTTCCGCCACCCTCCCGCCGAGGAAGAGATGAAAACACTTATATCCTCGAAGGCACGGCCCTTTGTGGAACGCCCCATGTGGCGGCGCGCACAACCCAGACCCCCTCGAGCAATGAAAAAATAATGACGGAGGTCTTTCGCCACTTTCAGCCTCTGGGGGCCCCTCCCGGGCCTTGGGACCTTCAAAAACCGACTCGGGATGAAAAACTTGTCCTGGGGAATGAATCGAGGCCTCGGTGGTCGACGTTATGAACAAATCATGACGTCTGGGATCTGGGAAGTGGTCTCGCCATCGCTCGGACGTCCATTCCCCGTGCCTTTGTCGGCTGCGTGCGCTGCTTTTCCTTGGCTCGATGATCCAGGCTGCTCCTCGAGGGCTTTCCGCCGAGAAAACATGCGCACGTCCGAGCGATGCCACGGGGTCGGGAGAGGGGGAAGGCTTCTTAGAATGAGGCAGCTTCTTAGAAGGCGCGGGCCTGGCATCTATACATAGAAGGCCCGCGCCTTCTAAGAAGCAGCCTCCTTCTAAGAAGCCTTCCCCCCTCACCCGGCCCCCCCTCTGCGCGTGGCTGAACCTTCCCCCATCCAATCATAAAATGCCAACGGACGGATTTTCGCTCTTTTCTGTCTCCCAGGGCCCTTACCAGGCCTCGGGAGCGTCCAAAAACGGCTCGGGATGAAAAACCAGTCCTGGTGAATGGGTCGAGACCTCTGGGGGTCGGCGTTGTGAAAAATCATGACGCAGGGGATCTGGGATGGACGCTCAGCGACGCGAATCGACGCTAACTAGCCGGCGTTATCTCATCGACTACCAGACACTAATCGACGCTAGTGCATGCTAGAGACGGAATGACGAGGGTACACAAGACTCCCATGATGTGTGCTACCGAACCAGCCTGTCTCGGGCGCTCGGCGGCCCTGGTCCCGGCGCCCACGGGGAGTAGGCCCCGATGGACACGGACACATCCTCCGGAGCGGCCTCACACACCCCCAAGACATCCGGCGTCTCGCAAAGATCGAGGCGGCCGTTTTTCACTGCTTTCAGCCTCCAGGGGGCCCTTGCCGGGCCAAAAAAAGACTCGGGACAAAAAACCGGTCCTGGGGAAGTGATCGAATGGTCGGGGGCCCATGTCTCGACAAAAAACGAAGCGCTGGATGTCTGGGCCTGACATCCCCTGAAATCCCGGCGTCGCAGCCTTTCCGAGCCGGGCGCTTTCGCACGATCTCAAGCCCCGGGACCCTCACAGATCGATTCGGCTCGAATGAAGTGCTGCAGAAAGACGGGGTCCTGGTCGCCTGTCGCGATTTTTCACGGGGCTGTGATTTCTAAGCGTCGTCCGATCTCAGGGTCCTCGCAGTCTTCGGCCCCTGAAGGCCTGAGCGGGCCCCGGGGCAGTCAAACAGCGACCCCGGACGAGAAGCTGGTCGCCAGGAAGGGGCCAGGACCTCTGACAGAGCGATTTCTACCGCTGCTGGCAGGGGGGGGAGGTTCGAGATCCAAACCCCCCGCCGCCTCCCCCTTCCCCAAATTAAAACTTTGTTCAGGGAGGCGGGGGGGCGGCCCTGGCTTCTTGGCCCCACTAACAGAAACTTGTCCGGCCAGCGACGGTGGATCGCGCTCCCTCGGACCTCTGGGGCGCCACGTGGTCACAGAACTGCGACGCCGGACGGCTGGGTCCCCGGCACCCCTCCGTGACGAGCCCCGTCCGTCACGAGCCCCCCACCCTCGAGGCTCCTCCCTCCTGCTCCTCCTCCAGACTTTGGTCGTTCCTCCTCCTCCTCCTCGTGCCTCCTCCTCCTCCTCCTCCTCCTCCCCTCCTCCTCCTCCTCCTCCTCCTCCACCTCCACCTCCTGCTCCTCCTCCTCCTCCTCCTCCTCCTCCTCCTCCTCCTCCTCCTCCTCCTCCTCCTCCTCCTCCTCCTCCTCCTCCTCCCCTTTGCCCCCCTGGCCGCCTGCCCACATCCTTGGAGCGAGGCGACGGGGTCGTCACGGGAGGGCCCAGACATCAAGGCGCCTCGACTTTCTCAGAATACGACCACCCGACCTCTCGACCACTTCCTCGAGACCCAGTTTTCGTCCCGCGTCGTTCTTGGACGGTCCCGAGGCCTGGTTCCTGAGGGCCCCAAGAGGCCGAGAACCACAAAAACTGCCGTCTCGATCTTATCGAGACGCCAGATGTCTGGGGGGTCGGCTTGCTGGGGGTCGGTCAGGCCGCCCCTGATCCTCCGAGGCGTCCCCCTCCGAGGCCGGCGACGCCACGTCCGGCCCGGGCACGTGGCCCGGCCACCACTCGGCGGGGGTGCGCCGCCACCCGCCGCTGGAGCCACCGCGGCCTGCGGAGCGGCCAGTGGTGCCTCCGCCGCCCTCCCCTGCAGCGCAGCGACTGCGCGGCAGCGAGGCGGCTGGCGGTGGAGGCTCGGGCGGTCGCCACCCCGCCGGCGCGGCGGCGAAGACCAGCTGCAGCGGGCGCGTGGTCCTCAGCTCGAGCTCCAGGCTCGGCGCCTCGTCCACCGCCACGCCGTTGACCACCACCAGCTCGTCGCCCGGCCCCACCCCCGCAGACTCCGCCCAGCCGCCCGGCTCGATCCTGACGACGACGACGGGCTCCGGCGGCATGCCGTCGGCGGTGAAGCCGAGGCGCGCGACCTCGTGGCCCACGAACGCCTGGTAGGTGGCGCGGCCCCCCGCGCGGGACCTGGCGCGGGACCTGCCCCGGGAAGGCTCCGCGCCACGCGGCCCGGCCCAGGCGGCCCCCATGCGCTGGTAGACCGGGTGGGCCGGCTCGCCAGCGATGGCCAGCGACGGCGTCCGCGGCGAGCGCACCTGCTCGCTTGGCGTGGCGGGGGACTGTGCGCCCGGCCAGGGCACCTCTGGAGCCCTCCCAGATGGGGTCGGCGTAGATGGGGTCGGAGCATCACGCCGCATCGCCGATACGTCGGCGACACATCGCCGATGCATCGGCGATGCGTCTGCGACCTCGGCGATGCCTCTGCGACGCCGGCGTGGAGAAAGTCGGGCTCCGCACCAAGCCGCATCGCCGATGCATCGACGATGCGGCCCCCATCCTCCGACCCCGTCTACTCGGACCCCCTCTGGGAGGCCCCGATCCTCCTCCTCCTCCTCCTCCTGCTCCTCCTCCTCCTCCTGCTCCTCCTGCCGCGCGGGCGGCGGCGGCCCTCCGCCCCTCGCCGGCCGCGCTCCTCCCGCCGGGCTCCTCTCCTCCCGCCAGCTCCTCTCGGGGGGCGCCAGGGGACCGCCTCACCGGTCACAGGTCGAGGAGGGGCCAGGGCGGGATCGGCGAGGTGGCCAGTAGGCCAGAGGCCTCCCACATTGGGGTCCGAGCAGATGGGGCCAGGGGATCGCGCCGCATCGGCGATACCTCGGCGAAGCACCAGTGATGCACCGGCGACGTCGACGATGCATCGGCGCCGTCGGGGTGGAGAAAATCAGGCTCCGCATCGAGCCGCATCGCCGATGCATCGGCGAGGCGGCGCGATCCTCCGACCACATCTACCCTGAGATCCGACGTTGCGGAAAAAATATAACACAACCTGAGCACCAGACCCTATTATTTTTGTCGTTTATCGAGCTGGATCCATATGTGATGGTCCTGAGGCCCGAAACCAGGCAAGAAACGCCCAGATCGAACAAGAAACGAGACCCCTGGATCTCAGAGCACTCCGACCCCATCTGGGAGGCCAGGTTAAAAGGTAACGAGATGAGGCCCGCGAGGCACGGCACGAGCGAAAAAAACGCGCTGGAAAGCCGTGTGGGAGGCCTAGATTGGGCGGCGCGCAAAAGGGGGTAATGGGGAGAGTGAGAGGCTGCTTCTTGGAAGGCACCGGCCCTGCATCTCTAGACGGGGCCCGCGCCTTCTAAGAAGCGAGGGTGCTTCTAAGTCTTTATAGCCCTTAAAAGCTCATTAGGTTCTGCCAATACGAAGAAAATTGTTCTATACATTCGCGAGCAAACATTCAATCGAAATTTAATAGGAAAATATTATCGTGATTATTGAGAAGATGCCGACTTAATTCTAACAAAGAAGCCTTCCCCCCTCCCCCTACCACCTCTGCGCGCGGCCGATGCCCAAACCGCCGACAGCTTCTCATCCTCTGTCGATGTTTGACGGGCCCGAGGCGAGGAGAGGGCCCCCTGGATAGGAAGGCACCAACTATACACCAACACCGATCCTGGCCCAGGATCACCCTGGGCCCAGGATCGGTGTATACGCCCTCCTGCCTTGCGCAAGAAGGCATATACACCGATCCTGGGCCCAGGGTGATCCTGGGCCAGGACCGGTGTTGGTGTAGAGTTGGTGCCCTCCGACTGGAGGCCGAAACTGGCCACAACGTCCCATCTCCTGATGTTTTCGCCACGCGATCCTGTCTGGGACCCCCGCTCTGCGCGTGTCTGATAGATTGATGCAGGGGCCGACCACAACGATGTCTGAAACGAACTGGCGTTTCCAACGAACACCGAAACGAGGCCCAGCGTTTTACACGAACGTGTAAGACGAAGCCAGTGCCAAACGAACACGAACGACGAAAGACGAAACGGGGCGTTTCAAGCATAAAACGCAACACGGAACGAAAGAACAACGAAAAACGGAACGAAAAACAAAGCAAGGGCCCAAACTAAGCTAAACAGCGTTGTGATCGGTCCTTTTTGGACGCCCGAAATGGGTACGGAAAAAATGGGCACAATGCCCAACAACAACTGTTGTCCCAAACCAACAGCGGCCGCTGTTGGGCAGGCGGCCTTCTGTCTCGAACGGACACAGGCCGCGGCGGCGTGGACAGCGAATCCTGTTCAAAATGAACAAGAACTGCTGCTGGGCACTGTACCCATTCTTTCCGTACCCATTTCGGGCGTCCAGATCCTTGGCTTGACGTCCCCGGATCCTCTCCCCGCCCGGCCCGGGCTCGCCTCCCCAGGCCCCCCGCGCCCCTGCCGACGCGGAAGGCCGGGGCCCGCTCGCCGCCTCCCGGCGAGCCTCTGCGGCGCTCCTGCGGGCCGCGCGCGCGGCCAGGGGGGTGGCGCCAGGGTGGCGGCGTTCTGTCGGCGGCGAGCCAAGGTGCTCTGTCACGAGACAAAAGCAAACACACACACACACAAGAAAAAAAAAACGAAAAAACTATGTCTGATATGAAAGCATTTTTTTAACACATAGATGTGCACCTTCGCCGGCCTAACGGGCCAGAGGCGTGCTAAGATCTTCGGTAACTACTCAACAATATTTCTAGTTCGCGCGCGCGGAGCGGACCCTGGGGGCCCCCGGACGAAAAATACCCCGGCTGATCCCCGGCCGGGTCGCGGGCGATCCCCAGGGGGGAGGCTATTTTTCGCCACCCCTCACGAGGATCGTGGCCTCCGAGGGGGTGGCTGCAATCGACTACCCCCCCTCCCGCCCCAAGGGGCCCCCAAGAGCCAAGAGCCCCCCAAGAGGCCCCAGGGGAGCCCAAGACGCCGCAAAGGAGCCCCAAGACGCTCCCAAGAAGCCCCCAAGAGGCCCCCAAGACAGCCCCAAGAGGCCCCAAATAGCGTTCCAGGGCCGGCGGAATGAGCGAAGCGATTAAATAACACTATTTAATACACATCTGTATCACACACACACACACAAACACACATACCCCAACATAAAAACGCCTCTCGGGTCTCTTATCAGTGCAGTGCCGAGGTCCTGGCATGAAAGCGCGCACTGGGCAAATCGCGCATGCTGGAATGCGCCACGCTGAAACAACTGGGAATGGTACTCGCCATGCTTTTTTTGAAGCTCGTCGCGAAAACCCGTCCCGTCGCGAAAACCCGTCGTCACGAACGGCCGTCGCGAAACCCTGCCCGAATCGATTCAAATCCGTGCATGGCTAGCAACGGTCACGACATGAAAAAAGCAGGAAGACAACGAGCACGGAACAGCACTCGAGGCGCTGGCGCAGCCAGGTTACGCTTGTGATTGAACCAACATGGCAGAGACCAGGAGGGTTTGAGCCAAAATGGCAACGTGGAGGAGGGGACGACGAGACGACGAGGACAACGAGGAGACGGAAGATGACAATGAGGAGGGGGATGGGGAGGGGGGAGGAGGAGGAGGAAGGGAGGGTCGGAGAGGAGGATGGGGGAGGACAGAAGGAAGCGGAGGAGATATTGACGACGGCGTGGAGACTGGACTGATGCTGATGAGGGTCATCCTATTCCACGGTCACATCGGTCCCGTGCATTTTCTCTCGCAGCGTTCGCAGCGTGTCTCGGCCATGCTTGTATGTTTCTCGCAGGCGTGCATCGGCCAACGGCACAACTAAAGGGGCGAGCTTTCCTGAGAAGAAGAGAATGATGTAGACATGTGGAGTGGAATGGCGGTCATCAACATCAACAGCATCGGCAGTTCCTCCTCCTCCTCCTCCTCCGCCCCCTCCTCCTTTTCCTCCTCCTCCTCCTCCTCCCCTCCTCCTCCTCCCCCTCCTCCTCCTCCTCCTCCTCCTCCTACCCCTTCTTATCCTCCTCCTCCTGCTCCTCGTCCTCTCGTTCGCCAGTTTGGCTCAAGCCACTTGTAAGATAGAATTGTCTAATCTACACCCGTTTTTTCTTGAAGGTTCCGCCACTTGTAGAATAGAAATGTATAATCTACAACCGATTTTACTCGAGGAGTCCGCCAGGTGTAGAATAGAGATGTATAACCTACACGCGAGTTTTCTCAAGGAGCTAATCTACACCTGGTGTTTCTCGAGGGGTCCCAGGCCTGTTTACACGACGGGCGTCAAGCTGGCTTCCAACATGCACTGATCAAAGCAACTCGCCTGGGCATCCTGTGCTTTCCTCGCGGCGACGGGTGGTTTTGGACTCGACGCCAGGAGGCGCTTCGCGGCGACGGGCGGTGGCGCAAACGGAGCAGAAGGAGGAGAGCGATAATGGTAGCTAGGCGGAGCGGCCTCCTATAAACACATTGCTGCACACCACAGCTGGCAATGCAAGCCGCCCCGAAACCTGCCGACACCTACTAGCTCTGGCCCGTTGGAGGTTAAGGGAGTGCGCGTGTGCTCGCTTATGCGTGCGTGTGTGCGTGTATGAGCGAGTAGGGATCTGATCTTTATGACCAGACACTTCACGAGAAAAGGTGCTTTGCTGCTTTGAACTCTGCGGGTGCGGCATCGCTTTTTGCGGCCTTGGCCGAAGTCTTAGCCTTGGCCTTGGCCTTGGCCCTGGGGGTGGCCACGACGTCGCCATCGCCCTCGTCAGGCTGAAAGACCTGGCGAGTCAAAGGGACGTTCACCTGGCCCAAACACTTAGAACTTACACTTAAGTAGTGGAAACTCACATCAACAGTCACCTTGTGTAGATGGTTCATTACAGTGTACTCGAAGTCAAACGGCAGAGTGATCACCCCATGGAGAAGCACTGGATCCTGGAGTTCGTCGGGCTTCCGAGGCGCATCTGCCTTGGCCTTGGCCTTCGGGGCGGGCACCTAGCAGGCCCCCAGGAGGAGGAGGAGGAGGATCAGCAGGACGAGATAAGGATGAACAAAAATCAAAAAATCGATCTTGGGGGGGGTATTTGACAAACCCCATGCGTTCTCTATGAAAACGCAATCTTTCTTAGGGGGTTATTTGACAAGGGCCCCCTCCCCTCCCCTCCCCCCGTGCCGGCGGGGAGGGGAGGGGTGAATGAGGAGGGGGAGGGGGAGGAGGATTGGGAGTTTTCCCTCAGGCTACCTTCTGCGGGTATGGAATAGCCCAAGCAGGGCATAGAACGTCTCCCATGGTCGGGTCGCAGGCGACGCCGTCGCTGCACACGAAGAAGTCCATGTCGAACGCACGTGCCACTTTCAAAGAACCTGGCACCTGGATCCTCGTCACATTGCCGAAAAAAGTTGAGCCGAATTCCCGCCGAGACGTTCTTGGCGACGTAGAAATGGTCTTTCTTCTCGGGAGTCGGGTTCCAGAGAATATCGCACCAGCCAGCCTCGAGCACGTTCGCCTTCATCTTGGACTTGGGGCCGTCGTCTTGGCCGACCGTCGGCGGGGCGAACACGGGCACGTTGCACTTCCGAAAGATGAAGGCCTGCAGCTCGAAAATGAACGTCTTGATCACCGCCGAAGTCGTTGCCGTCTGCGCCCACAAATCTTCAAGTGAATCAGGTACCGACGTAGCTTCGCCATCAGCGGCTTCAGCTTCACCGTCAGGGTCAGGCGCTGCAGTTGGAGCAGGCGGAGGAGCTGGCGCACCAACGCGCTGCTGTAACTCGATGTGGGTGCGCAGGTCCCCCGACGCGGCCGCCTGTATCAGTTCGGACCACAACTCCACCCAGGATGTAGATGGTGTTGAAATATCAATCTCGACAATATCATTGAACTCCGCTTCGAGCTTCTTCATCGAATCCGTCGCCATGTCGGTCAGAGCTCCTCGGCACATTGAAGACAGCATTCCAATGCAGTACCGAACGCGCAAAGTCCTAAGCATCATGAACTCGTCCTTGGTGTTGCACGCGCCCCCCGTGACGTCGGCGACGCTGAACAGGTTGCCGCAGTCGTCGGAATCGATGTGTTTCGAGGCCCTCTTGATGAAGCCGACCGTCCTGTCATCGAACACCTTGCACGTCACGCGCAAGAACGACTCCAAAGTAGCATTGAGAGTCAGCGCATCCTTCTCGACCAGGCCGCTCAAGCTCTGCACCATATTCTGCGACACAAAAAGGTAGTACGGTTGCATGGCCATGCCGCAGGTCGTCTTGTTGGTGTAGATGAAGCGCGACACCTTGAGCACGAGCTTCTCGTCATTCACGTACTCGGACATGTCCCTCACCACCTCAGACTTCCGCGGCGACGGGGCGGTCGCTGAGACTTGGGAGTCGTCGCCCTCGTCATCGTGCGGCTGAGACTCGGCCCCCTCGCCACGCACGGCTGCATCCAACCCTGCACGTCGGAGCTCGACGTCGTGCGCCGTGACCATCCTCTTGACGATTTTCCTCCTCAGCTCGCTCCACTTGATGTAGGTCACGCCGTCCACCGTCACCTCGGACGCGAAGCAGAACTCCAAACCGATGGCTATGTTAGCCCTGATCTCGGGCATCTTCGCATCCTTCATGATCTCGGATACAGGGGTCACGATGGCCTGCACAAGATCGTCGGGCCACACCTTCTCGCGGAGTTTGCCAGACTCCTCGACCGTCGTTTGGGTGTCTTCCGCAGGGATGCATATGCCACCTTTACCCTTTTGCTTTTTGGCGGCCTTCTCTTTCAGGACCATCGCTGCGAGCCTCTTCTTGCTGCTGTCCTTGTACAACACCGAAAATCCCATTGGGGCGATCATATGCTTGACGGTCGCGCTGTCCTTCTCTGCGTCCCTCAGGATCCACTTGGGGGGCCATGGAAAGCCCTCGTCCTCGAGAGGAAGAGCGAACTTCAAGGCCTCCAGCGCGATGATGTTGAGCAGCCCCCCGTCGATCACGTCCTTGATCCTATTGACGGCGACCAAGATATCATTGTTCAGCGATGCCACCGCCTGTGAGACAGAGCACGGCAATGGCGCCCAGTAGATTTGGCCGATGCCAGGAGGCCCCTAGCACCAGCCCCACCTACGATGGGGGCCATTGCGTTGCCCAACCAGCCTCGTTGCTGAGGTCCTTTCTCAGGAATTCACACGAGCTCTCACACATCTCCTTGGAGCCCGACCAGGCGGACAAACATGCCATCTTATGATAAGAAGCAACAAACTTCTTGAAGTGATCGTGAAACTTGAAATAATCAGAGAAATTGCTGATGACGTGGTTCTCGCAGAGTTTATCGTAGCGGTGAGGGCCCTGCTTCGGGCAACTGTCCACGGTGATTGAGTTCGCTTTCGCGCGTTGTTTCCAAGACTTCTCGGCCAAGGGCGATTGCTCGTACACTTGAATCAGCGTGACGGCGCTGCCGCGATGGTATTGGTTGTGCACGAGTTTGATCCACAACTGGATCGCCGTTGGCGTGTGCTCCTTCAACACGAAGATGTTGGAGAGACCGTTCTCCATGATCTCCACGACGTTCTCGTT